TCGGGACTGATGGTACGCACCAATATCGGTAGGGTATAGAGACTGGTAGAATATCATAGTGGGAAGCACAATGGACCAATACTGGTCTAAGTGCATGGGGAAACCCACCCTCTCCAATAACTAACTAACTAACTAACTACTCCCCAACATGTTTAGGCTCGCATATTAGACGTCAAGTAACCGGTGCAATTAGACAGAATAATTAAATAACATACGGTCCATCCCGTCACCCAAGCGGTAACGTACAGGCCTAGTGTTGAGCTTTGCTCAGTAATGATTCTTACTGGCAATGTAAGTTTCATTCGAAAGGAAAGCAAACGCACGCCTAGTTAAATCTTGCAGATTCCATGCAGAAATCCTACCGTATTTTACGGGGTACGAGGTTAGGCCATTCCTCGTGAGTCTATGCTGCATATTCTTGAAAAAAAAATTCCGAGTTCTCCCGTTTCCTCCGCAAATCAAACCTTCCAGTTCCTTCACTGTTTAGCCACTGTAAAGTTAATTTTTTTATTTTTTTTATTGTTAGTGGGGTGGGACTAAGTCCCTTGTACTGTGGCCACTTCCGGCCTATTGTACCAGCCCCAGATGATAGATGAGGATGATTGTGGAACAATTGGTGGAATGAAGATTGGCAGGGGAAACCGAAGTACTCGGAGAAAACCTGCCCCAGCGCCACTTTGTCCACCACAAATCCCACTTGACCACACCCGGGATTGAACCCAGGCCGCCGCGGTGGGAAGTCAGCCACTAACTGCTTGAGCTATGGCGCGGCCTATAAAGTTAATTACTGAGGACTCATACTTTCGTAAGCTAACACCAAATGTTTCTAATGATGGTGTTTAACAGCAAACATGACTATCATATTGCGCCTTGTCCTTCATCTGAAGATTTTTGAAACAAAATGTTTCGGAGACTGGATTTGTTTTGTCCAGTGATCGAGATTAGCTCCATCAAAAGGCCCGAATTGAATAATCTCCCTCGCTTACGCCTGATAAAGCAAACAGATCCAGGTTCCGGAAGGTTATGCTTGAAAATCTGAAGACAGTGAGAAAGTTAGACTAATGGTATACGAGTTGTCTTCTGTTTTATGGCACTGCGAAGTCTCACAGGCGGGTAGTAGTGTATCAGAGGGCCATATCGTACACTGAATATGGAGATAGTGTGTTGCTACATATGAGTATGAGTATGAGGGGTGAGCCAGAAAACTGGCCCTGGCACTGCGAACTGTGTTGCTACATAACCTAAATAATCTCTTATCACAGTGTACATATCGTAATCCACAGTATTATGAACATTAGATACTGCTTCATAGAGTCACTCTCCTACATATAGCCGGGATGGTGCAGTCGGTATAGCGACTGGGTACGGGCTGGACTACCGGGGTGTCAAGTTCGAGTCCCGGTAGGGTGAAGAACTTTCCCTTCTCGAAGTCGTCCAGACCGGTTCTGGAGCCCACCCGACCTCCTACCCATGGTTACCGTGGAGTATTTTGCCGGGGATAAAGCGGCCTGTGCGTGAAGCTAACCACTCACCTCCAACTAGTGCCGAGGTCTGGAAAACGTGGGTCTATACATCCAATCCCCCATACGCCTTCATGGCGTAGTGCTTAATTAGTCAAGCGCAGGGACAACTTTATTTTTTACCGTTTACATTTACATACTTGGTACTAGTCTCCGTCCAGAATCTTGGGTGGCGAAATTTATGAAAACATGTTTCCGCTGCTATCCACATCAGAGAACTAGTTTTCATCAAAGAATGTCACACCATTACTGTTTTCGTACGCAGACAGTTTGCAACACATTATTTCCACATGTGTGAACAAAACACTTTGCCAAATTAAACAAACGGCTGCATTATTGTTCTCGAATTTTCAGACGCAGCTTCACCATAATCGTCATTTTTAAATCACGTCTGATTATAGTTTGTTCAACTCTCTGAAACGTGAAATTTAACTAAAGAGTATTTTAAAAACTGTCCTACGTCACACAAAAAAATTCACTGCTTCTCCATCACATCATTAGCTCCTTAATGCTACTCAAATAAATAATTATATACATACATGCACTCTGTGGGCAAAATGCAGAGTTTTCAAATGTTAAAGCAGGAGGTACATAACGTTACCACACTGATTTAAAGCGTAAAATTGCACGGCACTAGGATTCGTGGGAACTTCAATGCACGCCTGTCCTTTTCTAACTGTCCTTGCTTAGAACTACACACAATCTGCGCGGGACAAGCCGGTTTCGCCGTACCGTTTCTTGGTTACGTTATCTTCCATTGTGTTACCTGTCCCTCTCTCTTCCACGGCTCTGCGCTCTGCCACACATGTTCTTGGCTAACCTTGAAAATGAAGGTGACTGACTGTGTTTGAACTGGAATAAAGTAGGCGTAAATAGGCGGATGTTATCTTCACAGTTCGGTCCCTTTAATCACACCCAAGTCGTTACGGGTGATTAACTTCCTCGTCACGAAATGACTGTGTAACATCGCATATGATCCAAAGTCTCCGTCTCCCCTTGAGAAGAGAACAGTCGATCACCTGGTGAAGAAATTCCTGCCTCTTGTGAATTCACAAAGTTCATTACCATGCTCGCAAGGGCCCGCAAACACCGAGTCCTTTTGTCAGTCCCCCATCCAACGCAAAGCTTGAGGACTACCCTTTGTCGGCTGTACCACTGCATTTTTAGTCTATTATATCTGTCCTTCATATCTGGAACACGTCTCGTCCAACCACAACCGAAGGACCCGTGAGGAATTTATGTATATCTGAGGAACGGTTCTGAACTATTTGAACACAACTCTAGGAAGACGAATGGAGGTTAATTGTCGAGAAAAATCCTGCTGTCAACTCCGTACAAGTTTTATCCAGCTTCTCTCAACCTTAACTCCTTACGAAGACAGAATTATTGTGGATCATCAGCGTGAATTTCGGCGTAACAGACCTACAACTGATCACATGCTTTGCGTTCATCAGATGCCGAAATAGGACTGCCAGAAACGCATGTTTACGATTCAGTCAGGAAGAAGGCGTTTTTTTTATTGCTAGTGGGGTGGGACTAAGTCCCTTGTACTGCGGCCACTTCTGGCCTATTGTACCAGCCTCAGATGATAGGTGAGGGTGATTGTGGTGCAATTGGTGGAATGAAGATTGGCAGGGGAAACCGAAGTACTCGGAGAAAACAGCCCCAGCGCCACTTTGTCCACCACAAATCCCACTTGACCAGATTCGGTATCGAACCCGGGCCGCCGCGGTGGGAAGCCAGCGACTAACCGCTTGAGCTATGGCGCGGCCATAGGAAGAAGGCGTTGGACAGTATTCTCTCTGAATCGGGTATACCCATGAAACCAATTAGGCTTATTAGAAATTTGTAATGAAACCTACCGTGAAGTCCGTATAGATAAACATTTTACCGATATATTCATTTTTGAGAATTTCCTGAAAGAATCAGGCGCTTTGTGGCTATCTCCTTATTTTTCATTCAATTACCCCTAATAGGCACACGGAAATACAGAGACTTTGGAGCTGAATGGGGCAATAAGCTTCTGGCCTATGCTGATGGTGTTAGTTTAGCATACTGGATGAACGCACGTGTACTCCTCCTCCTCCTCCTTCTTCTTCTTCTATTCCTGTTGCTCTCACTTGGAGCACAGGGCATCCGTGAAACGCTTCGTTTCACTTCAGTTTCATAATCTTAGACAGTCGGTAGGACTCCTTGGGCGGGGGATCAGGCCGTCGCAAGGCCTCTACCTAACACATACGTAGAATAAACACAGACACCCATGCTTTGAGTGGGATTCTAACCAACGATCTCAGTGTTCGAGTGGCGAAAGACGTTTCACGCCTTTGACCGCGCGGCAATTGTGTTCGGCGAAAGAATATATACCTCAAAGAAATACGTAGTTTCTCTATTGAGATTTTTGACTTATGACATCATGTAGCTTCATAGGTGGTTACCAGATTTTTGTAGGAATATTCTGTATTTTTCAGGGTTCTCTGAAGATTAGATCAGTAGTTTCCTTCGAAACGTCGGTAACCACCAACTAGATTATGTGGTGTTTTAACACATCATACCTCAGCGTGTAAGACTTGTTACACATTTGCGTATGGTCCACTAGGCGTCGAGACAGTTCTTTGATAACAGGTCCCGTCGCCAGTTGGACAGAGTTTCACCCTTTTTATCCCTCTCGCGCCCACTTTGGAGCACAGGGCTGATTTCACAGTTTCATGATCATTTTTACAGACTGTAGGAATTTTTGGACGAGTAATCAGCTCATCACAAGGCCTCTACCTAAACACAGGACAACACAAACAGAATAAAAGTATACGCACACCAAACATCCATGCCTTGAGTGGGATTCGCACCCACGATCCCGGCTTCCGAGCGAGCGAAGACAGTTCATGCCTTAGACCGCTCGGCTACCGTGACCGGCCCATTTAACCTTAGTCAACGTGAATTTTATCGATTTTAGAGTTCAACGATTGAATCAGTTCATTTGTATACCAAGCTCAGTCTTTTGTTAATGTTTCGAAAGTTACAAGTTATCTTGTTAAGTGTACGTTAAATGACTTCATTGTTCTGCTTTTGTTAGACAGAAACTCGATGAAACTCTGTGTGAAGAATCGTGCTGATCCTGTCAACGACCTATTGATCATGCACATTATCTACTATATCAGTTGTTCGGACTAAAATAGTTCAGATTAATAAGTAAAAAGTTACACATATCCCTGTAACAGGCCGTGGAGGCCCATAGGGTTGTGAGACGTCGAGGCTCCCACATTTTCTAGACAATCGGCTCATAGATGGCGGTGAGATTGTCAGACTTACGCACCGGCCTCCCCTTTACCCCCAAGAAAATTCCTGGTACTCATTTCTGTTAGAGGCTGAGTCGACTCCAGAGTCGTAGTTCGGCTGGAAGGATTAGGTCAATCGAAAAACCCAATGACCTCATTGGGAATAGAACCCGCGTCCTTCCGGCTTGTAGTATCCTGCCTAAAACCCATTACGCTGTCACGTACCCCCAAAACAGTTCAGATAAGATTTTCAAATGGTAACATGCTTGTGTGTTACTTCTGTTGCTGTTTGTGTCACTACCAGAAGTACGCCTTCTTCACGCAGTATGTAGCTGCTTAGCTGACCAGTATTGCAAACTGCAGAGTCTACACAGAGTAACATCACGACCACTTGAGATTAAGTTTTCGTCAAGGGCAACGCGATAGCGCAATTGGTTGAGGCACTATGCTACAAGCCATGATGTCGCGGGTTGGATTCCCAGTGATGTCGGATTTATCGATTGACCTAATCCTTCCAGCCGCAATATTGCCGTGGGGTCGACTCAGCCTCTAACAGAAATGAGTACCAGGAATCTTCCCGGGAATAAAGGGCGGCCGGCACGTAAGGCTGACAACCTTACCGCCATTTGTAAGCCGATTCTCTAGAAAATGTGGGAGCCTCGACGTCTTACATCCCTATGTGCCCCCATGCCCTATTACAGGGGCAGCTTTACCTTTACCTTTAGTAATGCTGAGACAATCTGTACTAGCTATATCATACAGCGTAAAGGAAATTAAAGTGGTTACGAATGTGATTTATGAGGCACCAGAGATGCCACACTGACTTGATTTTTAACAAAATTTTGTAACGAAGAATAAGAATATGAGTAAAATGTGTTTGACCCAAACATTTCTCCTGCCCGTATCCTTCGCATTAATTCAGACAAAATTAACAAAATAATAGAGCAGTTGTCCAAAATTTTAACGTTTCTCAATTGTGTACGTAAGGAGCCGTGTTCGAGTTTCATAGGTACACCCACTTATCTGACTAGCATTGTCGGGGTTTCCGCAGTCATTCCAGCCATATCCGGGATATCACCTTAAACTGTGTCATGACAGATACCTTGCACATGCCTTCCAAATCTTTATTCGTAGTCACCCGGTTATTTTGCGACTTATAGGCCTCCTGTCTCTGAAACACCGTCAAGGGTACGTCACACCTGGAACAGGCAGCCGTGGGAAGAAAAGTCGTGTATATTCAGTGAATTCTGTGGTATGGAAATTTCGGTTCCCATCTTGAACCGAAAATTGTCTAGAGAATTTCTAACGGTAGCGTAACAACCTGTGTCACTCACTCTTTCAGCATGACGTAATCTCAACTATATTTTAGACGAAATTTACTTAAATATCGTTAAATAAACAATATTTTAATAACATGAAAAGAGGAGCCGGGATGGACGACCGAGGGGTCCGAGTTTGAGTCCCGGTAGGGTCAGGAATTTTCTCTCCAGACCGGCCCTGGGGCCTACCTAGCCTCGTATACAATGAGTACCAGGGGTGAAGCTGACCCTCATCCAACTAGTGCCGAGGTAAAGAAAATGTGGTTCTATACATCCACTGCCCCATACGTCTTCATGAGATAGTGCTTAATTAGTTAAGCACAGGGACAGCTTTACCTTTACGTCAAGTGAAGTAGCTATGCGTTTGTGGACATGAGAAGAACGCGGTGATAGGAGGCAGTCTCGAGAGCGTGCAACATACCGTCACTGTGAGAGTGAGCTGCGTTAAGTGGCGGCTCATGCGCCGCAGGGGCGAGTGGGCGAGTGCTATGGGGTCGCGCTGCCAGCATCGGGTCATACCGGTTCAGTTTACATGTCACCGTCCGCGCCGCCGCGTCATGTCCGTTCTCTGACAAATGTATTGGCGGAGCCGAAACCCTGGAATTTCAGGGGGGCATTTTCGGCGCTGGCTACACATAGATGAAGATACAATCGGCCCGTCAAACGAGCAGTTACACTTAATCTCTGGTGAATTCTTTTGTGGAACTGATTTACTTAGACGTTCTGCAAGTGAGAGGCGGCAAGAAGACGAAGAAGCCATGGAAGGCCTGAAGACACTGCAACCTGACACGTCATCCCCTGCATTTGAAATTCAGGCCACTCAGAAGAATTCAGCAAGGTCCAGTAGTTCGCGTAAACTCCTCCAGCTGACNATGGGTGTGATCCTCAGCATTCCGTCCCTCGTCAGCCCTCTCCTTACTCCAACAAACGGTATTGTACTTATTTCACAGACAGGACTGATTCATCTAGTCAGCTCGCTGTCAAAAAAGTTGGTACAAGATACGTATCAAAAGCAGTCCCTCAAGACATTGGTAAGAATCAGAGAAATGGTGGGCGAAGCAAGATTTGACCGTTTTCTTGAAGGTTTTCATCCTCAGTGCAAAAAGGATTTTGATATCCTTTGTCAAGTGTACGACGTGAGAATGAATCTAGGTGATTCTGGTATCGATCTGCATGTACCGCTTCCTGGCGAGGACTTATTGTTTGAAGGGAACGGCTCGAACAGTGGACACGGATATTGGTATGATGGCTCGACCTCAGCAGCATATCCAACTGCAGTATCCCCTGAAGATGCAGTTTTCAGAGACCTGAATCAAAATGTAGTCATTCTGGATGATAAATCCAGTAGTAGCGAAAATATGGCAGATTCTCCACTCTCTCTCAAAGACGATGGAGCAGATGGCGTGGGCTCGATAAGCCATCTCACTGGGACAGTCACTGAGAACTCTGGAAGAGATAATGTTCATGGAAGAGGAGAGGTAATGGGAAATGGCCACAGAAATTACAGAGACGTATACTCAGAACAAACTTCTGGGATTAAAGGAGTATCATCTGATAGAAGTTATACAGAAAATAGAGAAGAACATCTTGAAGTCGCAATAGAAGAGAGGTCGGCGCCTCTGTCAGAAAATAAAGACTCTGAGGAGAAATCGGTGACTGTGATAGAGGGAGAACCCCTGGAGGAAGGGACTGTGAACTTCAGTCGCGTTGTTCTAGAAACTGAGTTTAAGTTAAACGAGGACGCTGCGATAATGATGACCATCTTAGAGGAAGGAAACACAAGTCCTCAAGAAGAGCTGTGCTCTGATGAAACTGGCACTGTCAATCATGGCGAAGAATTCGCCGAGGACAAGGAAACCGGTGCAGATGATGAAGGCTACAGAATGTACAACAATAACTTTATCATGAAAGTTTTGACCGATGATGAAGATTATAATGACGATGATGATGTTGCCGTGCCGGATGAATTCACAAGAAGAACTCCTCGTCGTGTCCGCTTCGGCGGCGAGGTAGTGATGATGCGCACACCAGACAGCGAGGAGACAGCAATTCTACAGCAAAATGGTGACAGTTTATCACAGGATGATGTCAACGAAGGATGTTCTGAATCTGAGAATGGAGCTGTTGAAGAAATTACTGCGGACGGTACTATCGAAGCGGTCATACCGGATGCTAGACGGGAGTCGACCGTCTGTTCAAAAGATAATTCCTCACACGAATCTATATCATATGCAAGAAGTGGCTCGAGAGGACAATCAGCAGCACAAGAAAAACTAGATCATGCAAAAAGAAATATGTCGGAAGAGGATTCAAGACGAGATTCCTTAGCGTTTGTAAGGCAAGGTACATTAACAGAAATAAAACAAAATTCAGAAGACGGCGCAAGGGAAGATACCTGTGAACGCTCACTGAGAGAGTCTGTACAAGAGGCAAAACAAGATTCTGTAGAGAATTTACCGTCTGGTCCAGATGGAGACGAAATCACAAAATCCTCAGTGGAAGGTTCTTTGGGTGACACAAGGTGCAGTCCTAATGAAGCTTGCAAAAAAGATTCTGTAAAAAGTGGAAGGATTCTGGCGCAACACGCGACCCGAAAATTGTGTGGCTCAACAGATGCTGCAAGGCAAGATTCTGCGGAAAATGTTGGACAAGAAACGACAGAAGATACTGAACAAGGCTCTACAGAAGAGCGAGTAAGGGACGTAACCGCGGCTGACGACGTTGGACAAAAAGATGAAGAAATGTCTTCCTCTCTGCAAAGTCACATCCCGCTGCCTGTAATCCCTGCTAGGAGCAAACCAAAAGACCGCAAGCGACGGGGGTCTCTTCATCGGAAACGTCAGAGCATGCGGGACTCAGAGACATCAACGGACACGCAACAGCAATCTTCAGATCTGGCTGGAGGTACACGACTGAAGCAAGGCTCTGAGGAGTCTGTGAATGGGGCTGAAAACGATGGGCGAGCGTCGACGTTGTGGGCACCTGAGGAATCAGACTGGCGAGGCGCAGAGCATGAATATAATGATCAGAACTGGGAGGAGCTCGGAATTGTGACGAAATCGGTGTTGGACGATCTCCATGATCAGGTAAGAAGAAGCTCTCTAAGAATGGCGTATGTTACGTTGTAAATAATTCTGGTCACGATATATTTGTTTCTATTGCAACTGTGTGCCTTTAATATTACTTTCAGTTGTTTTTTGTTTTTTTTTGTTTTTTTACATCGGACCTCATAGACACCCAAACATACAAGGTATGTGCAAGTTACTCTGAACTCTAGCCACGGCTGTTAACGCGATGTTCAGGTAGACCTACTAAGGTAGGGATGTTGGATACGATTCGAATCTCTATTCCCGATATCTTTGTAGTAACACGAGTAAAGTTTCATTTCGTAATGTAAATGGTGTTCCTTTTTAAACTTTCTACTTATCCGCAACGTTTACAAGGAAGCAACCATATCCCGGGAAAAGAAGGGTGCCTCCTCTAGTATATAGTGTATTATGTATTTTGCAGTATATTATATAGTTATATATATTTGTAATGTACGTGTATTACAATACATGTCGATCGCAGTGGTAGCGCGGTCTAAAGCATGAACCGTTTTCGCCGTTCTAACACCGGGGTCGTGAGTTCGAATCCCATTCGACTTACGGATGTCTGTGCCTTTATTCTGTCTGTGTTGTTCTGTATGTAGGTAGCCGCCTTATGACGGGCTGATCCCCCGTCCAAGAAGTCCTACCGACTTTGTGTAGGATTAAGAAACTGAAAAGTGGCCAAGGTCGAAAAGGCTGTAGAGCCATAGAGGGGTAAAAATTACAATGCGTATATATTTGATAATATTCTACATTTTATCGTATTAATTTCGCAAGGATCAGTTTCAGCGAACAAAACTACTGACTATGCACTATACTCGTACACTTCTCAATTTGTGTATATATAAAATGAGATGATTCTATGAATGACGAACTGGAAAGTATTTGGGAGGAATCAGTCGTGACTTAATCGAGAACTTTTCCCGGAATTTTTCTGAAGGGACTGAGGAGAACTATGCAAACCTTGTTTAAGGAAGCCAGTGTTATGGCCGAGATTTGAAACGAGAACCTCCAGAATACAAATAAGAGCATTACTGCTGCGCCAGCGTGCTGGATATTGTAGCCTGCTTCAGTCTTCCCAGGGTTTGAAGCTCGAACATATTTTGTTGGTTTACGACCAGTCATAACTGGCATGGAGCCGCGCTTCAACTTATATTGTAAATTTAATTTTTACCCCTTTTCCTTCGTCTGATTCTTGCCTCACGTGATAATGGCTATACGATCGATCTCCTCTTCTTCATGGCCATTCACTTTACTTTTCGTGTCGAAACCTGAAGAATGCAAGTTACTTGTATCTGTAATCATGTAACTCGGGCACTTCCCATGCATCGAAGACAAATTTTCAACCTTCGGTAGAATTCTTCTTGAAAGGTCAGTTTATGAAGAAACTATGAAAAAGCTACCGTTCATTCTGAGAAATTTTTAAATGTTAGACTAATCATACGCCTTGCAACCACTGGGCTCTTAACAGTTAGTCAATGTAGGCCACATTACACAATCTTACTTTGATCCATAAACCAGCTGATATATAAACTTCTCATTTTAAGGCCGCGCCATAGCTCAAGCGGTTAGTCGCTGGCTTCCCACCGTGGCGGCCCGGGTTCGATCCCGGGTCTGTTCAAGTGGGATATGTGGTGGACAAAGTGGCGCTGGGGCGGGTTTTCTCTGAGTACTTGTGCTTGTGCGCTAGTGATTTATCAGTAGTGTGGGAATTAAGGATGGCGCTATAATTCAGCGGAATTACGAATCGTGTGTTTAGGTGGTCAATAAATCCAATCCAAAACCCCGTCGAGAGCCACATTCATACACGTGACAGTATATACAGGCCGAAGAACTTGTGTCAAGCGGTAACACTCCTGGCTTGTATTCCTGATATTGCCAGTTCGAATTTCCCCCAGGGTGCCTAATATCTTGACTGAGTATTATCGCAGTTCTCCTCAGTCCCTCTAGGCAAATGTCGGGATTTTGCCTTTAATAGGGTTAATACCGCTATCTTCAGTATTATTTACAATTTATTATTCACTGTTAACCAGTCTTCTGGCTGTATATAGTTCGGGTAAAGAAACTTCGTAAAATGAGACACTGAAATAGTCAATATAAATATAATATGAATATAATTTTTGCTTCCGCCATACTCCCTACATATCGTTTGATTTCAGTTCAAGCTTCTTGAATTAAGTCAACAAGTAACCTGCTAAATACGTGTAACCTTTATTTATTGCCAGTTATCAAAGGTTCTAACGAAGATATTGTCAGGTATAGGGGTTTGTGCATGACTTATAGACGGTTTCTGGATTGGATGATTGGACTTATTGACACCCTATACACACAACACGGGACTACAGCCAATACAGCGATATTGCTTATCTACACAATTTAGAATTCACGGTTACACTCGCACTGGGGTTCTCATTCTTCACTAGTCCTATCCTTGCAACGGATTTATAACAATCTCACTGTCGGTTCAGATCACACATGATGTCTTCCCTTCACAGCCTAGGTCCTTTCGCCCCGTTATTCTGCAACTGCCAACTCCGAAGTCTCCACTCGATTGTTGTATGCTGAGTCCAAGCTCATATCATGACAGGCTGGCGTCTGGAAGCTCGACTCCACTCGACTGCTACTGTCGAAGTCGGAAGTCACATTGCGACTGACAGTCAGTCAGTAAGTCTTGCTCATAACCCGATATTTATTAATGTTTGACATTAACGGTCTTGCTTTTGTGGGGCGCCCTCTCTAACGAAAGGACGGGGCTGCCTTCTATATATGCTGGTGGCTCTTGCCAGCGCAGTCTTTCTCGGGTCCGAGTCCCTTGAGACTCGCGACCATATTTTACTGTCTCAGATTTGAGACTTTCCTTTTCGTCGCCTCCTACGACTCACAAGGTCACGGTGGAGGCATTCGACCCCGCCTCCACGCGGGTCTACTTTCGGAATCCTTCCTTATAACCACTTTGCACGGATCCCACAGAAAACACAGCTTCTCTATTTTTGGGAAGGTGTGTTTACAGCTCCGTTGCCTAGCAATAGGGGTCCTATTGTTACAAGAATTCGCTTCTGCAGGAATGTGTTTACCGAATAGTTGCCTAGCAATGGGTGTATATGTCGCAACATATTACACACGGATTAGCCGGTTTCTGAATTTTGTGTATCCTCTGAAAGAACATTGGACCAATGGCTAAAATCAGCTCTTCCTAACGGATGCAACTGACCAGATGCCTTCCCACCGTTCCCCCGAGGACAGGAACCAATCCAGTTTCCGAAACTTAATGATTTTCGGATTACTACACGATGAGCAAGGTTCAGAACTTCAATAATCTGAGATTAAATCTTTAATATTTCTGAACGAGATTGGGATTAGTTCTCCCAATTCTTTGTTGTGGGTAAGATACTTTCGGTATGCAACATAATAGAGAGCGGTAATACCTGAGTCTCTTGGCATCGTAACCTCACTTACACCTCTTGTGTCAGCCTCTGATGATCAGGATTGTGATGTGTTATTATGGAGATTTCGTGGAGCGACGACTGGCAGGAGAAAGCAGAGAAAATTATGCTTTGGTGCCAGTGGGATAGTCTGGCCTCGAAGCTACACCTCCGCAGTGAGAAGCTGAATACGTGCCAGACAGTATAGACTCGTGAGAAAGCTCTATATGATAGATAAGACATCCCATACTTTTGGGTACTTGCTCACGGAATTGATACGCCGTATTCTGTAGCAATAAATTGTTATTGTGCCTTGTGGCAATGTTAAGAGAGCAGAAAATAAAACTTGTGATACTCCAGCACAGTGAAGTGCTGTGGTTTCGAGACCCATGTCATTTCTTCCCTCCTGAAACTCTTAATAAACATTCTTAGTATTGACCGGCATGCAATTCAAACTGTAGGAGGTAGATCAGCAGTTTAAAGCACGCAGCCATATACCTGGCGGTGATTAGCATAGAGTTTGCGTGTACCCAGAGAAATGAGGTCAGGCCCCCTGACATCACCAGTCCGTCTCAGAATTTTGTGTCCCCTCACACCCTATCTTTTCAGTTTGGGAAAATAATATGACATGGTTTATGTGTCAACATTAATCGAAAAAGTCCATTCATTTTCGTGACACAAATACCTGTCATTTCGTGTTTATTAATAACAATGCTATTGTGACTCCACCTAGGGACGCTTTAAGGGCCCTGGGTGCTGGGCAAAATGTGATCATGGTCCCTTAGCTTTTCTTTACTTACTTAAAAGGAAGGCTGCGCCATAGCTCAGGCGGTTAGTCGCTGGATTCCCACCGCGGCGGCCCGGGTTCGAGCAAATGGGATTTGTGATGGACATAATGGCGCTGGGGCAGGTTTTCTCAGAGTACTTCGGTTTCCCCTGCCAATCTTCATTCCACCAATTGCTCCACAATTACCCTCACCTATCATCTGTGGCTACTACAATTGGCCAGAAGTGGCCGCAGTACAAGAGACTCAGTCTCACCCTACTAAGAACATTAACAATAAAAATAATAATATTTCAAAAGAAAAGATAGAAATGAACAGTACTATAAAAGTTAAGGTATTCACACTGACAAATGAGAAATGGGTAGGAGAATTTTGAAAACACTACATTCAGCTGAGTCCTTCTTAAGTAACTGGCACTTGCTCATTTGCTCAGGTGCTTAAGAAATTCCCAGCATTTTATATTATCCCGGTGGTTATTACGTGTTCACAGGAGCCCAGCGCTCGCCTCTGTCCTCAGCTAGGTGCATCCAGTCCACACCCTCAAATCCCATTTTTTATTATTCACTATATTGTTATTTTCATGTCTTCCTTATGAGTTTCTTTCCTTGTTGCGCCTGGCATTTCATGCTTCTGGTTAGAATGCATGCATTGTTAAGTACTAGGTCACGAAAAAGTAATTTTAAACATGCACAGACAGCAAGGTGATCTCATAAGCCTCCTTTCATATTTTTTTAAATAAGGAAAGTAAAGTTAAAGTTGTCTCTGTGCTTAACTAATTAAGCACTGCGCC